ACAATATGTTCTATTTCACCTGCAACCAGTTAGTGCCAATATTTTTTATGTCATGGAAATAACATCACCATCAGATATTACCTGTAGATGTAGAAATTGTCACCAGAGAGCGCTGTTCAGATCTTTATATTCCAAACTGTAGAGCGATTCATCCAGTGTGTCTTTTCTTTTGCACACTTTGTTTCCTGTTCAGTTTTTCTCAGAACTGTTTTCTTGTCAGCTGACAGCTTGAACTGAGCCTCTCAACGTAATGACCACAAAACATCCTCTAAAAAACAGAATGTATTTGGCGCAATGCAGAAAAACACAGAGCTAACTTAAACAGGTATTATCACGAACCTCCAATTCTGAACATCCGAAATATTCATCTTAGATACACAAAGGGTTAAGGCCCTTTTTAAAATCACACTTGTTTCAGTTAGTGCTAACCAAAGTATCAATTTAGTTACATATCGTGTCATAACATATAATCAACTGTCACCATCTGCTGGCTTTTTAAAAGCATTACATGTGGTTCCACTATGTGTTCTGCATTTATGCATTTAACTTTGTTAAAAAAACACAACTTGCTAATCAAATCTTGTTTGGCATTATGCATGTTAATATGCATGTTGGTCAAACTCATTTTAAACTATACTTTTCTAAAAAAGCACAGGCACCACTGCTATCCCTGCTATCCTCAGATCTTACTTTGGTCCAAGAGATTATTGTTTTATTTTTTTATTAATATGGTGCAAGTCAACATCAACAAGTCTCTTCTGAACACAGCTCTGTACTTATATATGCCAATCTCTAGAGATTGTTTTTCCTGCACCAGTCCTCTTAGTGTTCCACATCCTTCCTGTAGCCAGTCTCATCAATGTTTGTGATGCAACCAACAACAGCTGTGTTGTCCGCAAACTTTACAATATGACAGCCTGGTTGAGCAGTCATATGTAAGCAGCGTGAACAGGAGGGGACTTAGCACACAGCCCTGAGGGGAGCCAGTGCTGAGGACTATGGAAGATGAGGAGACATTGTGGATCCTCATAGACATATACATATTCATATACATATTCCATCAACAACAATTAGGCTTTGTTTCTATTCAATAAACCAGCTAAGAAACTAAAAACTAATTTTCACTGATATTCTCCACTGAAAAGATTAAAAGGTTTGGAATCATTTTTCTTAATTCTGAAAACAACCACCTGTTGTTCTCTCAAAGCTCCAAGTGGATTCTGTTCGGTTCATCCATTATTGCCATAACATGGATATTTATTCACTTCACCAGTTGTAGGTTGTATTTTGGTAGCATTTGTGTATGTGCATGTCATTCTGTCTGCAATCACGATAACTTAAAATGTGTTGAATTAATTTGTTAAAACTTGTATTAGTGTAAAGTTGGGTCATGTTAAAAACGCCATTAAATTTTCTCTTACATCCAGCAAGGCCATCAAGTCCACTTAATGTTTTGTTTTTCACAAAGAGACAAAAAGCCCTATAACTTTGATGATTTCTGGTGGTATGCATTGTGAACATATAGAAAGTACCTCTTTCCTGGAAACACTGATCTAAAGGTGAAAGTGATAAAAATGTTTGAGGTATTTTAAACCATGTTCATTGTTGCCATTGTCTGTACTGAAAAATATACTGACATATCATCAAAGATATGTGGGGATTGTAAATATAGTGTATTATTTTATTATGACTTTGTTATGTACCTTTCAGTAACTGTTATAGCCATTTAAATATATTAATATACAATGTTCCTGCACTGAAAACTTTTTAAAAATGCTCCTTCTGTCTCTGAAACAGCATGTTCATGTCCTTTCTCTAGTCCTTGAATCCAACATTTCTTTGCAACAGTAGCCCTGCTGTCCTCATTCTGGTGGGGTTCCCCTGCAGTTTCAGCTTTCAAGTTGAAAAACATCCATGTCTCTGTGTAACTGGAAGACTGATCAGCTCAGTAGTGGCCATAGATTAAATTCAGCCTCTCCATATACTGACCACTCTGTTTGTCGTTTTTACAGTGAGCAGTGCCACCCTGTGGTTGAGAGAACGCTGCCTATGAAGACCAAAAAGGTGCAAATAAGAATTGGTGGTGAAACTAGGAAAGAAAATAAGGCAGAGACATGTGAGAGTGTCAAAGATGACAAAGATCTCCTGACCTGGTCTCCTGAATTAGGTGGAAACTGATCCTGGACTGGATCCTGATTCAGTGCCCTCCTCCTCATTTTTCTGCAGAGTAAAAGCAGTGACCAATAATGACCACATTTTAGTTATATCCACCTGTTTCGTGTCCATTATCACATGAGAGTTGGTTAGTAAATTGTAACAAACTCGAAATCTTATAGTGACCACAGGAAATGCAAAATGTCTATCACTGTGAGAAAACCCAGACAATGAAGGCAGTCACTATTTGTAGCTATATTTTTTTAACATGTTAGATAATGAACTGAATTATATATTGAATTGTATTAAAACATAATTTGGAAACAACACGAACTGAAAAATCATACCAATAGAAAACATGAAAACTGTCCTTGGAAGCCTTCCTTTTTTGTATTGTAACACTTTGTAATACAGCTCACTTTGATATATATATAAGTACAATACTGTAACTATATACTGTTACACTCTTGTGCTTGCTAACGCGCTGTAACTTACCACAAGTTAAACATAAAAATACCAGGCTATACCTGGTAAATGTTTGTGTTTAGTTACACCTATGATCCAGTTATCCTCGAGTTATGAATTCAGCATTACAATTTTGTTGTCCTTCTTATTGCTCGATCCTGTGTTGTTGTTGGATTGGTTACCTGTGTACCACACCATGATTACAGTACTGAAACATAAAAACTAATACCCAGACTCATGGATTGTTCTTTTTTCTTTGTTCTCCAAAAGCTTTTAAGTATGATGAGCCTCTGCAGACTGGACTCTTTTCTAGTTAAAAAAAAGGAACATAGAGGTTGTGGTTGGATAGAAAATGGCCCTTGACTCAACTTTGACTCTAACCACAAACACGTCCTCACTACTGACATTTCCTCTTTTCATCCTCTACTGCATAGAAAAATAAGTCAAGCTAAAGCACTCAGGGCTGATTCACCTCTTTTAATTTAGATTAGATTTGTGGTGTTTGCAGAAATAGTGAACACACAAAAATTCACAACACGCTGCATTTAGATGCTTCAAATCCTCAACATGTACGTAAAATTAACTGCTCGGTCAACTAAAAAATAATCATTGGTAATTTGAGATGAACTAACTCTTTCAATGCAGGCATACACAATAAAATTGTTGTTTAATAATGAAATCCGTCTTACAAGCACTTCTGCAACAGTTCTGCATCAGCATAACAAAGAGCAACATTCGTGCATGCATCATGAAGTTATAAAAGTTGTACTCACCTGTAGAGGAAGACAGCTAGTGTGATACCACACAGAAGGAATCCAATTGCAGGTGGGAGTATGTATAGAAAATATTGTGATGAAATTGATTCTGTATAAAATCAGCAGAGAATTCATTTAAATGGCTTATTTGACCTTTACTAGAAGTGATTCATCTGCCTTTTTTCGCTACCCACCTTTGGGACTATCAGACAAAGTTAAATTCCATGTAATGATGTTTACACCACGTTTGCCTGTTATGCTACATTTATAAATTCCTTCATCTTCGGGCTGAGCACTACAAATAATTAGCTTTGTAGGGAGCTCATGATTTATTTTCAGTCTATGCAATGAGAAATTTGAATAGGTGCGATTCAGCTCAATGGAATAATGAAAAACAGATCTGTTGTTGGTCCAGGAGATTTGCGTTGTATTTGTCTTGGATATGTTGCAAGTCAGCGTCACTGAGTCTCCTCTGGACACCATCATAGCTCTGTTTTCGTCTTGAAGCATTACTGAAGTTTAGAGGGAAAAATATCTTAATATAAAATGTGGATATCTCTAACAGTGTATGAAGTTTAACGGCGACAATAAGTCAATATAAATATATATCGGTATCTAATCTAGAAAAAAAAAATCTTAAACACAAATGTAGTCTTTACCTGCAGAGACATGCCACATCACTAAAAGCTCGATGAAGAGCAGTGCTGCTTGGTTTAGTTTGAACATCATGATCATCAGACAGAGAGAGAAACAGACCTGAACTTCCTGTCAGCTTTATTTGTGTCTGAGGAGGAGCCACAAAAGGGAAGTGGCAAGTTGCTTTATTTCTGAATTCTGAACTAATGTATGTGAATGTGTAAATAATAATTAAATAATATAACATGTCAATGTTATACAATGACTTTAAAATTAGAAGGTTGATTCAAAGTTTAAAGGTTGATTTAAAAATATATAATCTCACCACTAGGTGTCAGTAGATTGCCGTTTGCAGTCAAATGAACTGTGTGTTGTTTCGTTCGCTACCGACACATCACTAGTCCATTGCACTAGAAAGTACACTAAAAGCAAAGGAAGCTATTTCACTTACCTGTTATGTTCAGTGTGTGTGTGTGTGTGTGTGTGTGCGCGCACTGGAATTAACGTGTTACTACTTTTAGGAAGAGAAATCTATTTAATTGTTCTCACACAAATAGCCTACTGATCTATGCCACCTGCAGCCAATTAGTAACAATATTGTTTAAATGACCAAGATAACATTGCTTTCAGATATTACCTGCAAATGTAGAAATTGTCAGCAAAGAGCACTGTTGAGATCTATTTTAGTCCGAACTGTAAAACGATTGATCCAATGTGTCTTTTCTCTGGTACACTTTGTTTTCTGTTCAGCTTTTCACAGAATTCTTTTCTTCACAGAATTACAGTTTTTTACAGACGCTAGGACACATTTCTCAATACTTAGGTCACTTTTGCAAAACTCTTCACACAATCCTCCTAACTGACCGTCAGCTTGGCAAAGCAGTTCATTTCACATTCAAAATGCACTACAACTACCAAAACACTTCATTCAGGGGCCCGTTCTTCGTACGTCGCTTACTACATCCAAGATCAAATGACACATCCAAGATCAAATCATCGCGCTAACCGTGAGCTCGCTAATCCGGTTC